CAGAAACCTGCCAGGAGAGGGAAGGCAGTTGGCGAGCGGGTCGTCGGCTGGGGAGGAGCGTTTCTAATCAGGAGCAGACGAGGAGCCATTCACAAAATTCTGCTTGCGGAGCTTCTGGCAAAAGCCACTTCCTTTGTGGTAAAAACAGACCAAAATAAATAACAACAGGGAAGTGGAGCTCTGACGTTGCTGGAGTTACAAAACCATTCCCAACTCTCCCGCGACCCCACTGCTGCCGAGGGGCGTCCCGGGGAGAAGGCACGGAGAGGAGCCGGTGGGACGATAGCGGGGACCTCCTGGTGACCTGGGGGATTTTCTTCTTCATGCAGCTGTCCCGGGAGGATCCGCTTCAGGGTATGGACCCGACGGGAGCGTGAGATGCCACAACACCAACGCTGATCTGCCCGAGGCCAGCTGGACAGACAGCCCTCGCCCGCTGCTTCACCGAAGCTAACAGTTAAGTGCGATGTTTCCCTTCAGCCCTACCCCACCTTCCTTCCTGCCAGCGGCTACGTCCCTCCCACCCTCTCCCAGTGACCATCAGTGTTGTCCCCAGGTCCTCTCCCCTCTGCCCTGCGCTTTCCTTCTGCATCTCCTGGTGAACCTCCCACCCATCTCCCTCTCCCACCCGGCAATGTCCACCACTCCCCTCCCCGACACATCCCGCCTGCCCTCCGCTGGTGCCTTCCCAGCACAGGGAGCTGGTGAGGAGCTGGGCGGCTCAGCGCCAGCTTCTCCAAGCCACTAACTCCTCGTCCACTCTGACCGCAGCCGGGGACCGCGTCCCACCACCTGCCCAGCGTCCATCCATGGAGACGAACCACATGTCCCCATCTCCCTCCCCACTCACGCTGACCACCGATGGAGACGATTTGTGCAGCGTAGAGGTCACGGACATGGCCATAGATGGTGTCACGGTGCTCATCTGCCTCTGCGGGCTGGTGGGGAACGGGGCCGTCCTCTGGCTCCTCAGCTTCCACATCCGCAGGAACCCCATCACCGTCTACATCCTCAACCTGGCCGTCGCCGACTTCACCTTCCTCCTCTTCATGGTCACCTCATCCCTCCTCTACATCATCCAGAACGTCTCCTGCTCCACTGTTGTGCCCTTGATGTACCTGAGGTCGCTTTTCCTGCTCTCGTGGTTCTCCTACAACATGGGCCTGTACCTCCTGACGGCCATCAGCATCGAGAGGTGCGTGTCCATCCTCTGCCCGCTCTGGTACCGCTGCCACCGCCCCCAGCACTTGTCGGCCGTGGTGTGTGCCCTGCTCTGGGCCCTCTCCATCACTGTCATTGCTGCAGTGACTTCTCTGTGCCTGTTGCACGAGGCCCAGCACTGCCAGATCGCTCTCATCTCCATGTACGTCCTCAACTTCCTCATCTTTGCCCCACCCATGGTCATTTCCAGCACAATCCTCTTTGTTAAGGTCCAGTGTGGCTCCCAGCAGCACCAACCCAGACGGCTCCACATCATTATCTTCCTCACTGTCCTCCTCTTCCTCCTTTTTGCTCTTCCCCTCAGCATCTGGAATTTCCTGCAGCAGTTCAGCTACACCGACATGCCCTCCCAGGTTGTTTTCCTGCTCGCCTGCATCAACAGCAGCATCAACCCCTTCATCTACTTCTTGGTGGGGAGCTGCCGGAGGCACTGCTCCTTCGTGTCCCTCCAGGTCACCTTCCAGAGGGTCTTTGAAGACGCGGGGGTCACAACGATCTCCAGCTAAGAGGCCACTGTGTTCACACCAGCTGTGCTGCCCACCCCACTGCGCGGCTGTAGGCCCCCAGGACAGTGGCTGAGGGTTTCCTTGAGTAATCAAATTCATAAATGTCTGCAGTCTTTCCCCCAGTGTCACCCTCTCGCGGCATAACTGCCCCGTGAGGAAGAGGAGAGCAGGGACATCGCCAAGGTCGATGTGGGGAGGCAGGCTCAGCGGGGAGCACGGTGGAGCACGGCTTTCCTCCTCCCTGCCGGCCCACCCCAGCTCCGAGGGCACTCTTCCCCCAAGGGGAACGTGCCCCAGAGGACCGTGTCCCCAAAAATCCCCTGCTTTT